AGATTTCAAGGAGAAATTTAAGTATACATGACCTCAACCAGTGGTTAATTATAGAACTAATAAATTCTACTCAAAAGATTAACATGTGCAAAATGAATCATGATCCAAACTAAACAATATACTTAATATGGTCGTCCTAAATACACACAAGTAGGTGCAGTATTTCGTAAATACATATTTCCAAAATTGTAAAAATATTTCAAAACATGAACTTCCACAAAAAGTTGTTAATTGCAATTGAGAACAAAATCAAGTTATTAAAATGTCCACACAATAAATTGATTCTAACCATAAAAATGATTTAGGACACGATTTAAGAAATATAGCTGAAACTAAAATGGATGACGTTAATTCTTTCATTTGTATAGAAGTGGATGGAAGCGGTGTGAGTAATATAACCGCAAAAGGCACACATTACTATATTGGTTCTATGAAATGATAAGATTATTGTAACTCAAACGATTAAGTCATATCAATGAGGGGTTGCACTAGTTCTAATAAGCCGTTGCTAACAGTATCTGAGTTTCTAAGTCGTTCAAAAGAAACATGGATGAAATACAATCATGTTCAACAGAATCAAGGAACTTACTAGAAACATACTCAAAGATTATACAGTTAGTGATTAGCTAAACAGTAAATAAGTACAGAATTCAATAATATTTGAGTGCCACGTCGACCAAACTCGGTGATATTTGTTCGATAACCCTAATGATTCAAGTCGTTAAGCTCACTGATAACGCACTTGTTATCAGCTATCTACAAGTTGCCGACCCTGTGATAAAGGTTCATACTATTATACAATCCATTCTAGATCAAATTAGCTTGGACAATTTGGTCGCAAATTAATTGATTTAATATAAATAAATAAACCTATCTCTTGAATTGTCTTCAGAAGGTCCAATGCGTCAGTGTTATAAAGCCACAAAGAACATTGACGTGTTAAGTTTCAAGATCATTACAATAATAATAATTTTATTGCAAATTAATTATCAGTTGTCGCCTATACTGTGCAATTTCTATAACTGTAGAAACGTCTCCTTCAGAACATTTAACGATAACTCGAGTCTCATCATCTAACGTATTTGTATCCTTAACATAAAGTTTAACTTCATATTAAAGTCGTTTTTGTTTAAGAAAATTCATCACGTGATATTTCAATGGTAATATAACTAATACACGTTTCATACGAATTAACCTATAAATGTCAACAACATAATATAATTCCTACCACCTCCATTCAAAGCGTATGATGATTTATTTACTAGTTTCTGGACCGAATCATATACCGGTCAACAGAACTAGTTTTTAAATGATTTTGTCGAAGGAGACTAATACGGCCAGTATGGTAATGATTCATGTAAACGAGTTGGCTGTAATCTGTCTGCATCTAGAAGTATTAACTATCAGTCGTGAAATATTTACTGAACCAATAAAGCACGAAACAGACAGACTGTAAATAAGAAACACAGATATATTTGAACACATGGACGTGGCTAGAACACACTATAAAAATGGCGCCTGTATACCAAGAATCGTGTACAGTGTGCAAATTAATCGCAACATCATTGAGATAGGTACCTCCCCGTCGGTATGTCCCCTGTACCAGTCGCAGATGTGAAACAAAAATAATTCACAGCTCCTTCACTGTATGTGCACGCATATATTTGCATTTTAAACGCACCAGTTGTGACACGAAGGCAAATTCTGCCAAGGCTGCCTCTTTATGCACCGGTACTAAATGATATAAACCCAACAAGGAGTGACGTATGCGCGAACTTTCTATCTTCAGTGAAACTTTGAAATGAATAGAAGATTCTAAATAAAAGAGACAAAATAAAAACAGTAACATGATAATCTCATACTTTTTTGATTTATAAATGTCTTTAAATATTCCTTCATGTTATTATAATACGTTTTAAATAACTGGGCACGATGACCTGGTGACGCGAGTAATATACCATGCCGTATATAAACATGTACTCAAACTACAGTACCTACTTACCAAAAGGGTGATGGTGCAAGTTACTGCGCAGGGTCGTCCCATGTGCCACTCAATATCATTTCACTATATTACAACACACCACTAACAACACAGGTTATTTTGTAGGCAAAATAAGTTTACAGTCTACAAAATGAATGCACAAATAATTATTATCTAATTATTGACTAAGTTCTAAACTTTACGGGTTTGCAACTTGCATCACACGCGATAACCGACATGCGTTTTGCGTCAATAATTCCAATATAAATATGCGAAGCTAGGAGAAAATTATTGATAGTTCACCCCCATTGTCTAAGTACGTAATTACAAATGTCGAATAAATATCGTATAACTAAATAAAAGAATATTCTACATACATTACTTTGGGTACGAACGTGTAATGTACAAACCCCTGATTTGCATACACAGCAACAAAGGACGAGCACCATCAGATAAGTTTTGGTAAAAAAATAAAAAAAAAACCAAAGGAGGTCTCCGAAACTTGTTTACGAAAGTCAGAGTCACGTTTTGCAAGTTTACTCGTACGCGGGGGATCTCTCAGAGAGGGGGGTACAGACAGGTTAGTGTTTATATGTAGCTTAGTAAGATATGTATGTTATGATGCGTCATTCAAGTACACATCACTCTTAAATTGACCAAAATTCGGGTCCCAGTTTTACAATAACAATTCTCCGAAGCAATTTTGTTGCGGCCGATACTTCAAAATGCATTATGGACAATAACAGTCAAGGGTTAATTTGCATCGATTAAATGAAAAAATATATAATTCGATAGGGTATAAGATTTCTACTTGTATACGCCTGGGTATGCTCATCAAAATTAAATCATCATTGCAATGATCCTCGCAGTGTTTTCACCGTACATTTGGTATCCATGCGTGTCACGTAGGGTCACACTCGATCCTTGGCCCAACTGATGCAGCGATACAACACAAGGCCGCCAGCCGGCCTCGTTCGTACGCAACGAGCATCCAAATTCGTATGAATCACATTTTTTATAGTTCATACCACGCTTTAACAAGGTTAATGATATAATACCCTTGCAGGCTTCTTCAAAATGACGTCCTATTGTTGGAAGTTAAAGAAGAAAATGGCCTACAATGCCCGAGGAGTACAAAGTCTTTCTACATTGTACGGCAAATGAGTCCTCGTCCTTGCTAATGATGATAATACATTGCAAGTAGCAACAACTTCTAAAACGTAATGATTGTTATTCAACACGGCAACACGTTAGACAAATTGATACGATTAAGTGTTCATAATAATTATGCACCTGCACTTCCTGTTGCATGTACGAGGAAACTAGAGGTAGACATGATCATGTTCGAACCGACGAAATACTCAATACTATTGGAAAACATGAATCAGATATTACATAGAGTAGGAAGACTTAGCTCGCGTTCTGATGAACAGTAAGTTACGATTTGATTATAAAAAACGGAAAGTAAATTAGTAATAAACTTCAAACAACGATGTCGGAAGCGAAACAAATGATCAGTTATTATCAGCTAAGGTTCGGTGTGGCAATCGATCAGGATGTGGCATTGTGACCCAATGACAGTCCGCCGTTGGTAAGAAAAAACGCAATTATAACAGATGAGTTGAAGAAAAAACGACTTCGGACACGCTACGCCAATGCCACGGCTGTCGTCTCACAGTTTTATGAACAACTATAGAATAGATGCTAACACGTAATTCCCTTTGCGATATCGAATCGTTCAGTCATTTGCATTCGACCTAGACTCTCAATGTTAAACGATGTTAAATACAAAAGGAAAGTTATAAATAGGAACTTGTTGATTAAATCCATTGATCGGAGTCGATGAACCAGTTGTACATTGCTCATGCATTAGACATTAACATCTGATAAAAAGATATTTAGGTAACGAATTGGAAGTCACAAGTTTATTAATGACGTATTAATTACTGAGTGAGGAGTACAAAGAGATAAAGGTTACAAAGTAGGATCAAGTGTTAATGTGGTTATAGCTAGAGCAAATGATGAAAGCCATTACAATAAACGGTTGGGCACATTGAGCAGTTAATGATAGCTCACGACGCATTGTGCGGCGGAGACACTAGACCAGTAGGATCTGTGCGCGACTATATTTGTATTTGATCTCACACCGGCTCGCGTCGGTATTGTCCGTCCGCTGGCTCCTCGTCACGTTCGCTAACTATGCCGATAATGACTGCAACAAGATATCCTTGACTCTGCACACAATTATCTGGACACTTTGCATCAGAACTTGACACGGTTGCTTATACACATACTGTATGCTACAACAACTATACTAGTCTAACCAATAAAGGCTGAGAATCCATTTAATGAGCATTAAATTATATGACGAGATGTGTTATTATCGTTTCCAGTTGAACTTGACTTGATTATAATTGTTTATTCATCGGTGTTATATAAGTGCAGTACTGGATAAAAATATTATAATAAATATTAAGCAAATAATGTGGCTCTGTTTTGCACTGACTTTGAGAATGCATTTTGGACCTTGATGCTAAAAGTCTAAGGTGTATACTAATTTAGTTAGTTGAATGAGGCTCACGTACTGACAAAGGTTGCTCGTCTCCATAGTCATACTTCCGAGGAGTGTGTTGTGCAGTCGGAACAAAGAGGGTGTCGTGCACTGGCTTACAAATACAAATATTTTACTCTTTCAAGTTGAGCTGTGAATCACAGTAGCCAACATTGAATATGATATTTTATTTAATAATTGCATTTCCAAGGAATTACTTGTCGTAGTATATGACAAAGCGACCTTATAGATGAGCATCATAAAAGTGCAATAAACCTTCAAAACTAGATTTAGAACATGAAAGTGTCTGTGCTCTATCGTTTTACGGTCTATTATATGTTTGCAAACATATAGATCTCACACAATAACACGGAGCACGTGTCTGGTGACAACGTTGTAAATGCATAATTCACAGCGCATTTTGTTAACATAAATAAGATTAGACTAACAAAGCGTTTTACATTACAGGTTCGTGAAGCCAGACGAAGTGGCGAAACTGTGGGGCCACATGAAGCAGAACGAGAACATGACGTTCGAGAAGTTCAGCAGAGCCATGAGGTACCACTACCGACAGATGGTGCTGGTGTCCGTGCCCACGGCGCGCCTCGTCTACCAGTTCGGCCACAAGGGACCCGACTTCAAGACCGACAACCCTAACTTTGTCAAAGTGAAATCAGAAAATGTTACCGATATGTCTTATTCTTAGTTTAAATTAAGAAAGTATTAGGTTAAAATTTGTTGAAAGTCGATGCTCAGAGTAAGATAAACAGTGATATGATGATGGTTACGTATAGTATCTAGAGTCTTGTCCTTGGAGGTTTAGGAGAAATACGAAATACAGTAATTAGGTAAGTTCGAGCAGACAAGTCGAGATGATAGCTGGTCACAGTTTGATGGCAGTAACAGCAGAGGAAATGTTTGTTAATGTGTGTCTATTCAATAATAGTGTCAATTGATTTTTGCAAAAAGTCATCGTTCCACCCAAGGGCATTATTGAAATGAATAGTTATAATCAGGTTATTTGGATGAAGTGGGATCACCTCCAAGCTTGGATGGTCATTAGATTGTCTTGGAACACTCTAACGACTATTATTTAAGTTCAACTTTACTTCAAGTTGACAACATGGTTGACGTACCGAGCCATGATGGCCGCGTACGGTTGTTGTTGAGATCAAGGGCTGAAATATTTAAATTAGATTTTAGTCATGATCGTGTTCTTTATACGTAATTTTTCTTATGATGTCTTTGTATTAATAAATACGTAATGTTTAACAAATGTTTTAATGTTATAGTCTAAATATTGCTAGCAAAAGTCGAGCACGGCTTGCCACTTGGAGGTGGTCTCGAAGTTAAGTGTTTTGAAAGTTATATGAATGTACTTTAGCTAAGATAGGCTCAATGTTTGAATCGAAATAGTTTCAATGGTTGTACTCGTGGATGTTGGATCAATTACTTGTTGGGTATACTGTGTATTGGTTGGATACCGATCGGTTGGATTGTGCCGTCAATTAACTCGTACCGACGATGTGTCGGTATGTCCATATTATTTTTTTAAGTAATTTTATTAGTATTTTATTCTCGATGTACGTTTGTACTGTCGAACAAAAATTTTGATGGTTGTTTATGTAGGAACATTACGAATTTTTGATAAAGTATTTTTAATTGTTGTTACCGTATGATACGTGTGTGTAATGCGTAGATGTTATGATATTGCGAACATTCCAATTAATTTATAAATAGTTCTAAGTTGTTTAGTGTCCACTTACTTCATAGTAAACTTAAGCATATTTCAAGTTGCCATAATTATGTATTTGTATACGTAAAACGATAATGTACTTAATTTCATAGTTTCTTTGAATTCATGTCATTTCTCAAACTCTAATATGTCATCGTAAGATTCATCTCTAATTGTAATTTAAATAAATTTTATACTGTTATTTAAAATTCCCGTCTCAGTGTTAGTTTAAAATTAAAAATCTTAAGATTAAAAAAGCGCGTTCGTGCAAATAAAAATAAAATGACAAAAAAGATCTGCAGGCCAAAGATTAGTTTTGATGGAAAAGATTTTTTAATTTAAGATTTTAAAAGTAAAAGTATCATGTTTTTGACAATTTAATTTTAATATTTTCTAGTATTTAAGTTTGCGACTCTCAGGCACACGCTGTGATGTAAGATAAATTGAACATTGTTTTTCTGTAAATAGTTCCTTTCAGCCGTCACCTAACTATCCAGTACCGCAATGTTATGTACATAGCCATATATTTTACCTATGTATACACAGATATATAGTAATATATTAACTTCATTCTTCAACCAAAACTAATATATTTATTAAAGTAACAGATAATATAGTAATTTATAAAATAAGATTGATTTTACCATAATTATATTTATTCATGTATCTTAATATAAAGTGACAGTACAAAGCCTGTGTCTTAACAGAACAACGATTTTAACTCTCTTCACAATAGTATTTAGGTTCATTTTGAAATGTATTAAGATCTAAGTTATGGCTAGTCTGTTGTAGTGGAACTTGATACTTTACATAATATTAATGTGGAACTACTTTGGGGAACAATGTACTATCGGCAAAGAGTGCGGTAACCTGTGGAAAACTTGCTATCTACTGGGCGTTTTCCCTTTGGTCGCTCGCGCTTAGTGCATGCGAATATCACCTTATAGTTGTCCGCTAACTTTGTCGATTGTACCTACTCATGTTACATAATATTATATGTATTCAATAGTTATAGGTATCTTATTTAATCTATTGGTTTGATTTAGTTATTTTTTTAATTTTCAAAGATGTTTTTAATGAGCATCGAATTTAAGTACAATAGTTTAAAAGCATTTACTTGTAGCCAGTCCACAATATATATAATTACGTTTATGTAATATATTGTAGTTTTCTCTATATAAGATATGTCGGCCATGTCATATTCTCAAAGTATTCCATTTTTAATAGTTTGTAAGTTACAAAGGTGCATAATTCCAGTTATTAAGTATTTATAGGTGTTAAACAATTTTGTTTCGTATTATGTTCATGATAAGATTACATTTTCTTTATTTCTTAGTAAACTGTAGATGTATAATTATTGTGCAATTGATGAAAAGACAGATTTTATGTATTATTTCTTAATAGTTATGTGAAAATAAGAAGAGAAATATACGATTTATGAATGTGAAATAATACCATTGTTTTAATACAAACCCATACTTTACAGAGGATGACAATTACCTATATATTCGACAAAAACAATAATTCATTGTTTTAGTCATAAGAGTTCTTCTATTTATTGGGTAAGTTAAGAAGACTTATAGAAAAAGACCTCATGAAGTACTAATTAGTTTAGTATATGCTTAAAATTATACTTCATATTCAAGTATATTCTATTCACTAGAAGATATAGATTTCGTAAGTTTCAAACTTTAGTATCCTCCGCTTTGATTGCCAATACAAAACTGTTAAAGCCTTTAATACTTATCTATGGGCAATCAAAGCTATGAACTTTGCCTCCATGAAAAATAATTCCCCTTTCATGCCTTCAGACGAAAATTAACAGAATAATTAGCAGAAAATGCTGAAAAACGCCCACTGATAACAAAACTAAATATATCCAGCATTAATTAACAAGAACTTCCTCTTAGTTTTGTAGGAGTAACATCAGGCGACGGGGGCTTATCCATGGCATATATATAAATATATATACACATATATAACATAAATTTTAATTGGATTAATTGTTGTTACAATACCCGTAGGTGTTTAATTAAAACTTATATATAATATATATTGTATATTGTGGGCAAAATAATTGTTTTTGGGAATTTCTGTAACCGCAGTGACAAACGGTCGGACGTCAATTACATAGTTGTGGTATTCCAGCGCTCATTTCTTCCTTGTAAGGCCGGGGCCGTGTACCTACACAGTTGGTACCCTGGAACATTATGAGCTGTTCAAAGTAACATGGACTTTCATGGTTATTTTGTTATTGAGGAAATTTCACCAGGTAAAGCTTTGTATTATAACTTTTGTGAGACATACTAAATATATTATTATGTTTTCGGCTTACTCACGTAATTATTTGACGAGGATCATGAATATGAGCCTCTAGCTTGGCTTGAAACTAGTTGAGTTCCTCGTCAAATAATTACGTGAGCAAGCCGAAAACATAATAAGGTAAAGTTTTCTAATGGAGGCATATTGTTAGTATTCAACCTACAAGTTTGTAATTAAATGGATAGGACCTAAGTACTATATTGGTAATTAAGGTAACACTAGCTCTTTTTTTTAAACGACTTCAAAAAAGAACTAGGTTCTCATCAAATTACTTCGTTCGTACTTCTGCTCTATGAGCTGCAGCCCTGCAACCAGTTAAGTCCTCCGCGGTTCTGTGTCACAGGTTCAGAGCACCTGTGGGTTTGTAGGCCTCTAAAGTCGAAGATGATCCAGTGATGAATATAAATATTTTTCACTTTCGCTCTTCTTTATCGTTACACGAGTCAAGCTCTTGAACTTACACGAGCTTGAACCTTTCTAGTCCTTGAATAATTCCAGGCAATATTTTATAAGCAAATCAGGACTTTCCTTGTTTTAAAATATTATTCATAACGCTAGGACTTTAATCCATTTAGATAAGTGTCCTTATACAACATTATACTAGTAATGAGATAACATTGCTCAAAGGAATAATTATGTTATCTATTTTAAAGAGTGCTAAAGATTTTATATACAGTGCGTGTGGTACCTATGCCTCTACTGGGTACCTATTATAAATGTCTTGCTACCGTAGATGCTTACCATCAGGTGTAGTATTCACTCTTATAATTGTTTAGTGGTTGGTATAATTTTTTATGGGATAAGCTGGTAACGAGCATTCGTATCACCTGATGGTAAGCAATCATCGTCACCCGTGGATACACAAAACACTAGAGGTTTTACGAGTACGTTGCCGGCCTTACGGTAATTAGTACACTTACTTAGTTACGCTTACTTATTTTCTACAATAACAATTCAAGTAAGTAGTAATTTGTTAATGTTTATCAAGTCATTTTGGATAGTACAAGATCTGAAACTAAGCCAGGCAGTACTTACGTCAAAGCACAATTTTACTGTGGGAAGATGTTTTGGAAACAATTTTCGTCTTGTACATGCAAAGGATTTTTATAATGACCTTTCCACGTGTAGCCGTACCCGCCGTAGGCCGCGCGTAGATACGCCTACGTCTTATAAATAACTTGCGATTGCAAGAAAATAATTAAACCAAAAGATCAGAGAGTTAAAGGAGAATCTGAAAAAGAGAACAGTTCTAAATATTGTGCTAGAAACTAGTTCTTTACGCTTGTTATTGTTTGAATTATGAGCAAAGGGGAACAATAACTTCTTCAGGTCGTAACATAAAGAAAGAAATGAAAAATAAGCAGTTTTTATAATGAATAACTTGAATAATTAAATGTAGTTTTGAGTCATAACGTTTAATTAATAATGACTATTATAATAAATTTAAAAGTACGATAGAATCTTCCCAAGTGTTAATAAATGCTATTATTAAAAATAGCGACATCTGTTGACTAATAGAAGTAATACGGTTTGGTTAGAGAAGTTAGGTTACTGGTTGATTGTGCTACTACATAACAGATGTCGCTTACGTTTAATAGTAGTGATTCTTATGTAAGTGTGTAGATGGCATTGGATATAATTTAAACCACTTCAAAGAGACTAGTAGAAACAAAGTAAGTTTGCTTACGTTAGATTTAGAAAATAGTAAATTACATATTTGTATTTAACACTTTACAATACTTAGGTATATCATAAAAATAATATTGCGACTTAGGTATACTAGGACATAGTTATCTATGTCTATACGAATTTAAATTCATGTTATATATTTTTTAAATTTGATTAGGTACTTGATAATTATGTAAATTAATACTTTGGGTCATTTACTACATAGGTAAGAAGTGATAATATAAAAATACACAAAAATATTTAATATTTATTAAAATAATAATATAAAACTTACGTACAATATTAGATATTTACATTCTTTACAGATTATTTTTGTTATATTTTTATTATTCAGTGCGAACAGACAATCGCACCCAGGCACCTCCAAAGAGTAGCATTTCGAATCCATTCTTGCTCAACCGCGCAGGGATGCAGGTTTTATCACAAGTGGTCAGTTTTAGGTCACGGAGCAGCAGGTACAGCATTACTTTTACCTCACATAAGGCAAAACGAGATCCTACAAGAAGGAAAAGAAAAATAAAGTAACAAGATAGTAATACAAGGACGTTAAAAAACAGACGGATGTACTGTTACAAGCAAAATACACATACATAGGTAGGCGTGCTCATGCATCATGGCTTACCACCAGGCGAGATGGTGGCCGTTTGGCCAACAACCTATCAAGTAATTATAAAAAAAGCACAGATATTATGCCCGCCTTTATTTTCAACGTCTTTGTAATCCTTACTTCCTTACTATTATTATAAATCGGAAAGTAAGTTCGTTTGTTAGTTTGTTCCGCTTTCACGCCGTAACTACTAAACCGATTGCTTTGAAATTTTTACAGACGTAAAGTTAGAATTCCGGATTAAACTGTCAAACACCAAGCGGTCACCGGTGACCGCAACCTATTGTTCTATAATTGTGTCCACAAAACCGGTACTCGACGAGTTAAATAATAGGGTACTTTTTATCCCGGAAAGATTTGATATTCCCGAGGGAAAAAAGTATTGGTATAGATGGCGCTGTGTGTATTGGTATATGTCACATTGGCTACTTTTTATCCTTTTGTGACGCGAGCGAAGCCGCGGGTAAAAGCTAGTTAGATATAATTAAATGTCACGACAAATCACAATGATTTTGAGTTCATATAATATTGCAATTGGCAGTTGCATCAGAAGTAATGTACCTTTTGTGAGAAACAATTATAATAATACGTCTATAATAATGCACATACATATTATTAAACATTAAACGCCGTGGGGGTCACCAGTGACCGACGTTAGTGGAGGATTTGCCTTCATCAGTTTTCTATTGGCAGTCAAAGGCTTAATGATACTAATTTAACACAATGCAAAATGCTATGAGAAATATTAACTTCTATTCCAAGATCGTCTTTGACTGTAACAGTTCGTTTCAAATTGATAAGCAAAACAATATAAACCCCAAACTTACCAATACAATTCCTAGGACCCAACCCGAACGGTAAATAAGTGAACGGGACGATTTTATCCCGGTTTTCGTGCGAGAACCGTTCCGGGTCGAACTTTGAAGGGTTCGGGAAGTATTCAGGATTTCGATGGAGAGTATACGCCGGGATCACCACACACTGCCCCTTGCGAATCTGCCAAAGAAAATAAAAACTTAAAACCATCCGAATAGAACACAAGATGCCATAAACTGACAGAAAAATAAGTTTGTAAAAAGAAAACGAAAATTTAAATTGATTTATTCAAAGAAATTCATGACCTATAACAATGAAAACAGAATACAATATACCGTAAAATGTTGGGTAAAAACCAATGATTTACTATTCAATTGGGTGTTGTTTTGTTGGCCACCAATGGGAACTAAGTCAAGGGTTGAATTACCCACTGAAAGAGACCTTGTACCACGTAGCAATAGATCGACCTTTAGTATAGAAATCGATTAAAATTCATAAACAAACGACCTATGGAAATTCTTAGGTACATAGAATTTGATCAATGTAATTAGTCATTTTTTTAAATAAAATGGTCAAAAAATCTTTTCATAACTCACTTTTGACGTTCACTAATATGAGATGACTCCTAAATAAACACGGGGAGGATCTTTTGTTGCCTGACAAGTACAATTCTAGAATCAACGCATTACTCCTCTTATACACGAAAATGGATAATACAATATAGATACATCATACCGAAGGATAAACGTGACAACAATTATGTAGTTTATTATTTATGAGTCAGGTAGACAGGCTATTTATAGCATCGACGACTGATAATGATTAATAGCCCCACAGAACACAATAAGTATAGTATATGCTGATATCGAACCTAAAAAGTTGTCTGTATATAACCTCGAGAGTTATCTACCTAATGGGACATTAAATACACACGGCCCCCTGAATAAATCTTTACATCCGTCAGACTTTGTTCTTCTTCGTTGCCCTGCAAGTCTTTTACAAGAATCTAGTGTATATT